GGGGCCGCGCGCGGCCCCCCAGGGCGCCGCGATGGGGCAGCGGGGGGGTCGCACACGGCTCCAGGGGCGGCTCGCGGGTCCCCGGGGGCGACGCGAGGGTCGACGGGGTGCCGCGCGCGGGTCCAGCGGGTCGACGCGACCGTCGACGGGGCAGCGGGGGGTCGCGCGCGGCTCCCTAGGGCGGCGCGACGGGGTGGCGGGGCGACGCGACCACCGACGGGGCAGCGGGGGCAGCGCGCGGGTCCCCCAGGGCGACGCGACGGACAGGGCGGGGGCGCGCGCAGGTCCCCCACGGTAGGAAACCGCCGCGCGCCTCGGGGCGCACGGCAGGAAGAAGACGGCGCACGCCCGAGGCGCACGAGAAGCAGAACAGCAGCGGAAGCAGTTAGGTGGTGGGCCCACCCACAGGATCGACCCAAGGGGGTCGACCTGCTCTGAAACCATGTTAAGTTTAGCAGGCAGAAACAGAATTGAAGAAAGGAGGGTTTCACTAGCAGCAGTTGGGGTACATATAGCAAACCCTAACTGGGTTGTACTCGCTATAGAGCACCCCACTACAGGCTAGATAATAACATTCTGACATTGCCCAGTACTGATCCACGGGAAAATACAGGGAGCAGCAGTAAAGATTTTTATCGACGGAGGAGCAACTCACAGTTTAGTTAATACAGCAACCGCACGGAAAATGCAACTGACACTTAGCCAGTGTTTACCAGAGATAGATGCACGCTTAGTTGACGGCACGCCACTGGCCATACGGGAAAAGGTGGAGAGAGTCAAAGTCCGCTGCGGGGGGAATTTCGGGTTTACACAGGAAATGCTCGCGACGACACTGGATGGGCACGACATTGTACTGGGACGTGATTGGCTGCGACGGTATAACCCGCAAATTGACCGGACGAAGGGTAGCTGCACTGTGGGAAGTAGCGGTAACTGGGTTGAACTACCTCGCTGGCAGTCGCCTGAGTCTTTAACGGTACACGTCAACGCCGTCACCATGAAACGGGCTGTCGCCGTTGGAGCTGATGTGTACGCAGTAGACATCGCAGTGATACAGGAAGCAGAGCAGCCGAACGACTTCAAGAAACTGCTGGCAGCGGTACCGCTCGAACTACACGAACTGTTGAAACAATACCCTGGGATTTTTCCCCGATGATTTACCGGAGGGACTGCCACCTCAGAGAGCACATGACCACCAAATAGAATTAGAACCGGGGGCACAGCCAATCGTACAGCGCCAGTTCAGACTGACACAACCCGAGCTCGACGAACTGAGGAAGCAGTTAGATTACCTGTTAGAGAAGAAATTCATCCGACCGAGTTCGTCACTGTTCGCCGCACCAATACTGTTAACGCCGAAAAAAAGACGGAGGGTTTCGCATGTGCATCGATTACCGAGCGCTCAACAGGGTACAGTCAAGTCGCGGTACCCCATTCTCCGCGCCGACGAACTGATAGACCAACTACGAACAGCACGGGTTTTTTCCGAAAATAGACTTACGGGGGGGTTACCATCTGATTAGAGTCGAACCATCGGACTGCGCCAAAACAGCTTTTCGGAGTACACCGTGATGCCCTTCGGGCTGACCAACGCACCAGCGACATTTCAGATGACCATGAACGAGGCATTTAGGCCACTTTTAGATAAATGCGTGATAGTTTACCTCGGCGACATCCTCGTCTACAGTCGCGACAAGCAGCGTCACTTAGCAGATCTGGAAGCAGTGTTTAAAAATTTAGACGAGCATCGGCTACTGACAAAGGGTTCCAAGTGCGCGTTTTTTTAGGACAGGCTAGAGTTTTTGTGGCACGATATTTCGGAGGCTGGGGTCGAAATTGACCCGAAGAAGTTAGACACGGTAAAAGCCTGGCACCCCCCAACGAATATCATGGAACTGCAGAGCTTTTTGGGGATCGTCAATTACGTGCGACGGTTCGTCCCCGACATGGCACGGTTAACTGCGCCGCTGATGGACTTGCTACGGAAGGGGGTCGCTTTTACGTGGGGGGAGAAAGAGCATGCTGCCTTCTCTGCCGTGAAGAATATTCTCTGTTCACCGCCCGTACTGCGCATCGCCGACCCACACCACCCATTTGAAGTAGTTACAGATGCAAGCGACATCGCCATCGGAGCAGTACTGCAACGGCCTACAGCCCATCGCATACGAGTCACGAAAAATGCATCCGCCCGAGAAAAATTACCCGATACACGACCGCGAAATGCTCGCGATCGTGCACGCGTTCAAAGTGTGGCGCTGTTACTTGACCGGCGCAGACGTGACAGTACGGGCATACCATAAATCACTACAGTACCTCCGTGCACAGCCCCACCTCAACCCACGACAGATTCGCTGGCTCGATTTCCTCGAGTCAAACTTCCACTACACAGTCACCTACAGAAGGGGCATCAAACATCGCCGACGCACTGACCCGCCCCACTGCCCAGATCCATGCAATACTACTCGCCCAGACCAGCCCATTATTGACAGGCCTATTCACCCACGGGTACCAAACGGATCCATTCTTCACAGGAGGAAATTTGCAGCAGTTCGCAGCAGCAAAGGGAGTCTAGTCTATTACGTAAAAGCCGGGACCGACCGCATCTGGGTACCAGGGTACACACTGCTACGAGAATTACTGTTACAGGAGGCACACGGCGGAGTTACCTCGGGACACTTCGGGGTATAGAAAACACGGCAGCAGCTGCAACGGTATTATTACTGGCCCGAAATGTTGACCGACGTTCAACGACAAGTGGCATCGTGTCTCACTTGCCAGATCATGAAGTCATCACGACAGCGGCCGGCAGGACAATTGCAGCCGATACCACCCCCAGAGCGTGCTTGGCAGCAGGTGACGATGGACTTCGTCACGGGGTTACCGGTCGGAGCGAGTGGGAACGACGCGATCCTGGCCGTCATCGATCGACTGACGAAAATGGCACACTTCGCAGCCTGGAAGAAATCAATCACAGCCGAAGAAATAGCTCGCCTCTTCATTTCCACCGTCGTTTGACTGCACGGGATACCAGCAGCGATCATCGGCGACAGAGACACAAAATTCACCAGCAACTTCTGGCGGAACCTGCGGCAGCAGTTCGGCACGCGACTACAGTTCAGTTCTTTGTACCATCCCGAAACCGACGGACAGACAGAAAGGACAAATCAGACCATGGAGCAACTCATCCGAGCAATGTGCGATGATCCAACCACCTGGGAACAGCAGCTGCCACTCATCGAGTTCGCGTACAACAACTCACCGTCCGCCACGACCCAACAGTCATCGTTTTACCTAAAACTACGGACAAGACCTGACAGTACCCATGACCCCAAATCCCGACAACCCGGTGCCACGAGCGCAACAGTTCGCCGAAATGTTACAAGCAGCACGGACCCGGGCAACAGACGCATTAAAAAAATCGAACATCATCGCTAAACGCAACGCCGACCGTCACCGCCGACCTGTCACTTACCAGCCGGACGACCTAGTTTTACTTGACACCCAGAACCTTCGCCTGCCCATTACCCCAAAACTTCGCCCTCGATACTGTGGACCATTCCGCATCAGCCACATGATTACACCCGTCATCGCCCACCTCCTCCTCCCCCCTGACTGGTACGTCAGCCCGTCTTTCCACGTCAGTCTGCTTCGCCCCTACGTACCATCCACAAGCCAACTGCCACGCAACCGCCCAGCCAGCATGACACGACCGCCGACCGAGCCAATCATAACGCCCGAGAAGATTCTGAGCCACCGAGTTCGTGACCCACGAGGAGCCCGAAGGATCGAATTCCTGATCGCTGGAGAGACCGTACACCCACCGAAGACAACTGGGTTCCCCTAGACAGAATCGAAAACCACCCCGTCCTCACCGAGTACCTGCGCAGCCGAAATTTCCGGGATGTACACGCGCTTTCGTAAGGAGGGCCTCCTTTGGGGGGGGGGGGTAGTGTAAGGAAAATTCCTTTTTCTTACTTCGCGTCCCTGCTCGGCGCGTATACCACTGTTCCCGCCAACAGCACCTAACAGTAAACCGTTACCATTCGCGACATTCGCCTCGACACTGCTCCCGCCACTGTTCACGACGTGACCCACCCAACCTCACGGTTCAATTGGTAACCCGCGCTCCGGACCTCCGCCGCGGCAGTTCCCAACCTCGGCACCCGGCCCGTCGCGCACCCCATTTCACGCATTACCGTTACCACTATAGTTTCGCTACATATTCTTCGCTCATGCCTTCGCTCATTGTACTCTTGCTTCGATAGTGCAATTCTCGCTCGATCACTCCATTGCACTCGTAACATCGACCAATAATATGTATAAAACTTCATAAAATGAGCAGCAATTTTCACCGCATTAAATCAAGCTTGGGCATGTAGAGACCCATGAGTATCTGTTATAATGGGAAGCATTGAATACAATTTAGGACAAAGATAACATTTGAATGCAAGATTTTGAATCAACAACACAGAAAAGTGCAAATTATGTTGTATCTTATTCCAGGTTGGAGGATTTTGCAAAACTTACTGTGGTGACAGCGGACAAGGTCTTGTATTGAGTTCCCAAGGTGCCTGGTGCTCGCTTGGGATTGCCTTGCCTTGCCGTATCACTTAGGTGGACTTCTCGTCAAAGAAAGCACGGATTTAATATCTCGGCCAGTGATCAGTTAGGGAAAGCACGTCGCAATCCTTCGAGCCCGCGTATAATACTTCTCGCAAAACCAGCAAAGTGGGAATTCCTAGGTTCTGACCTGAAGTTTGGGTGGAACCCTGTATTGAGCTGAGGATTATCAGCTCAACGGATCACTTCATACATTCTCGCATTGCTCGCGCATCGGTTTCCTGTTAGCTTCACGCTGCCGTTGAATCGAACTTCGTTAGATTGAGCGGGCCCATTACATCTTGTTTCTATTCATGGGGCGTCGCGTGCGATCAGCGTTCGCTCTCACAATGCATGTGTAGCCGGAGTCACAGCGCTGGCTGATCAGTCGCCGAGTCACAATGACGATCAACGCGGTGCTCGAGGCGGACCTGCGCTCCATTTCCGCTGAGGCTCGCCGGCGATTCCCCGCCGTGAAGGACGCCGCGGAACGTGGAATCCTCAAGGTGTGCTGCATGTATTGGCTCAGCTGATCCAGTGCTCTCACTTCCAGCTGTCGTGTTCCCCGTGCTGACTTCTGAGGCTGCTCAGGAAGTTCTTTGTGCTAAGATGTTGTGCCTCTGGCGTTTGTCTTTTACTGACATGAACCGCGTCCTCTCCTGCTGCGCCCTCCTTGCCATTACTCAGCTGCGTTCTCTGGCAGGTCCCGAAGCCATTTCAAGAAGTGATGAATTATTGCGAATCTTCCTGCTGGCGTGCGACACAAGGCAGCCGCGGCTGTGCGCCTTGGGATTGTCGTGCGTGCAGAAGCTGGTGGCCAACAACGCAGTGCCGCCTGCTGCCTTACCGGATATATTGACCACGCTCAGAGAGGTGAATCACGGCGCTCCCTAATTCAAACGGTTTGCAGATATGCAAGCCAGTTGTTAATCACTCCACAATGATGCAAAGCTCTCTGACCGCAATCTTGCGGTGATGCGCCACATTCTGACTGACATTTATTGCACTGGCTGACGTGTACCGCCGCAGAGATGCAACTGGCGGATCTCACATTGATGCAGCTTATCCTGTCTGACGTGTATTGTAGTCCTCAACTGAAAATCTCCTGCAGTGGAGCATCTCCTCTCATTTAACTAGCATTTCGATTTCTGACCCGCATGTCTTGCATGATGCATCAATGACATATGTCCTCCTGACTGACAGATTTCAGTGATGCTCATTCTGATCCGAATGACGTTTGGTGCAGTCATGCATCAATCCTGACTGACAATTGTTGCACTCATGCATCAATCCCGACTGAAATTGCTTGCAGTGATGACATTGGAATGCACAGCTTGCAGCGGTGCAGGGCGTCTGCCTTACATATATGTGCCTGACACACGATGTATCCTGAAACCTATGCAGGCAACGGTGCATGCAGAGCATTGAATTCACGTTGCTGGCTGTAGAACCGTTGGTGTGGCGAAAATTGCTGATGCGGCAGTGGTGCAGGCATCCACTTTCAGCTCGCTGGCAACGCTAGTCAGCCCTGTCTGCACCTGTCGTCCATTCCAATCTGTTACGCCCTCGTCTTGCCTTAGTGTGTTCATTCCTCCCCCCTGCGTGCCCTCCCCAGCACGCGGACGGGTCAGAGGAGGCGGTGCAGCTGAAGGTGCTGCAGACAGTGCTGACAGTGCTGCAGTCGCAGCTGCACCCCAAAGATGAGGTGCGCTGCCATGCCATGCCAGTGCCACCCCTCACTCTCATGGCGAGGTGGGGTCTGTACGCTTGGTGAAACTGTCTCACGGATGTATTCGGATGAGAAGAACGAGGAGCATAAGGCATGCATGCAAGCACTGGGACATGCATGCATGCACATGGTCAGGAGCTCGGCATGTTGCATACAAGGTTGACACAGTGCTCTCATCAAGTCTGTAGCCACATGCGTGCACCAACTTCGTCCATGCATGTGCCCATCTCCCCACCATGTGTGCAGGAGAGCATGGCCATCATCCTTGGCATCTGCCTTCGCCTTGCAGGCAGCACTCGGCAGCTGGACTGTGTTCACAGGTAGGGAGAGGGATGTTCTTGTGTGCTCGTGTGTATGGCCTCTGAATGCCTGCTGTCGCTCGCAACCACGGGCTTGCAATGTTGTCCTGACCCTGCTGCTGCACTCTATCTTCGCACATTCATTCCCTCCCCCTCAACCCAACCCGCGTGCATGTGCGTGTACGTGTGCGTGATTGTGTCTGTGCGTGCATGTGTGCATGGCAGCACGGCCACAGCAACGCTGCGGCAAGCCATAGCGCTCATCTTCGACAGAGCTGCCAGCAGCGAGGGCCTGCCGGTGCAATCTGCCCCCCGCCAGGCCAACCGTGTGTGGAACACCTCCGAGCCGGGCGACATCAGCCGCATCGTCATGGCCTCCAGGTGAGCCCGCTGGTGGGCACCATTGGCATGCCATTTGAGAGTACTTGCCATAACATTTATGCTCCCCCTTGTGGCACATGAACCCGTGGCAGGGCGACGGAGGGCGAGGGGGCGGGGCGGGGGGTGGGGGAGGAGCTGGAGACGGTGGTGCTCAAGGAGCGTGTGGACGACCTCTCACCCGCAGCCCGCATGGGCCTCCGCCTGCTCGAGGATCTCGCCGCTCTCGCTGCGGGCCAACAGGTGCGCACCGGGCAGGGAGCTTCAGCAGGGCAGCGTCGTAAGGGGCGGGTGGGAGGGGGGGGCTGCTGGTAGAGCGGGAGCTGGGAGGGAAATATACTTGAAAAGGGATGTTAGCGTCAGATCAGATGTGATTTGCGCATTGCAGTGATGCAGTTTCCTCTCTTCTGCTGATCTCGTGGCAACCACTTGAATATGTGTGCCCTGTGCCCCCACTCTCCTGCATCTTTCCCACATGGCAGGCGCAGTGGCTGCACGTGCCGTCACTGCAGCGCACGTTCGCCCTGGAGATGCTGGAGTACGTCGTGTCCCACTATGCCACGCTCTTCCGCCGCCTCACTCCCTACCAGCAGGTCAGCCATGCTCCCTGCCGTGCTACCATGCATGGGCTGCGCCACTCGTGAGGCATCATCAGTCAACAACATTCTACCTGTCCCACTGCAGCTTATTTTCCGAATCGCGTGAATTGCACGAGCACAAGATTGAATCAGGAAATTTGCAGGAGGTTTACCAGTAACGTTTCGCACTACTCCAGTTGCATGACTCCAAATCAATCGAGCACTGCTGTTGTAAACTTAATGAATGAGCCTCACAATATGGGCCCCGAGCTTCAATCCACAATTTTTTTTTTCCTGATTTCCAATTTCCCTTGCATCCACGTTCCTGTCCCTTGGCTCCCTCTCCACCTCTGGTGTGCCCCACCAGGTGCTGCAGCACAAGCTCTGTGCACTCGTGATGACGTCACTGCGCTCCACAGGCTCTGAGGTGAGTGCCATCGTGTGTTTGCTTCTGCATATCGTGTCGCAGCACTAGCAATTGCCGTATCACCTAATCTTTTCTCCATGTACATGGGGTGTTGTGGGCATCATCAGGAGGGGGATGTGGGCGAGCCAGGGTACCGGCGGTTGGTGCTGCGCTGTGTGGCCACTCTCGTGCGGCAGCACCACGCTCAGCTCACCACTGAGTGCGAGGTGAGGGCACTGGGACACGATTGCGGCCGGTAGCCATGGCACTTGTTGACCCTTCTTTCATTGCTGCTTCTCTTCCGTGTGCTCGGCCTCATCGTTCTTCCCAACCCTCGGCCTCATCGTTTTTCCGGAGAAACTTTTATCCCGAGCAGGTGTTTCTGCTGATGCTGGTGAAGAGCGTGGACCAGGACCTGCCTCTCTGGCACCGCATCCTCGTGCTTGAAGTGCTCCGGGTATGCGCCACACCACACCGCGCCCTCTGGTTAGATGCGACGGGTAGGCTATGCCAGCTAGTGATTGCTTGGCCACTCGAACCCGGTTGCCAGCATGCTTTTTGAGTAAGTGGTTGCGGTAGGCCCTTCACCTGTCCCAGTGCAAACGGTCACTAAATCTATGTGCAGATGAGTGGAAGATGGAGGGCATGTTATGGTGGCTTCATTCCGTGTGATTGCATTGCTAACTTGACACTTTCACGCACGTGTGTGCGTGTGTGCGCTCGTCTGCATGCAGGGCTTCTGCGTGGAGCCAGGGACCCTTCAACTCATATTCAACCTGTTTGACATGTGAGTGCTCTCACACTGTTCCGTATACGAGGGATTTCACCTTGTGATGCGAAAAGTTCATTGTTTGGCGTGTAAGAGCAGGTTCATGCGTGCCAGTGGTACTCGTGTCAGCGTATCATCAGATTTAGTGTTCACGGTCTTAAAAAAATGTAACTAGTGAAGGATTAAATGATATCCGATTATAGATATTCTGGGCGAGGTAGATTTCTCCTGGAAGTACTTAAACAGCACATGCAACTTCTGGAATTCTTGTTGCCGTCCTTTTCTCTGCGAACGTCCACTTGCTTTGCTCTTCCCCCCCTGAGCGTGGCTGTTGCGTGTGTGTCAGGCAGCCGGGCAACAGCAGCATAGTGGAGGAGATGGCAGTGGCGCTGGCACACGTGGTGCAGAGCGTGCAGGTCTGCTGCTGCGCTGCTGCCCTCATGCACTCGGTCGTTGATAACACCCATTGTCACCACACAGATGTGCCACCATGCTGACATGGTCTCAGCAGCACATCACAACCAACTTCTTCCCCTATGACCATCATCCCCACCTCGTTGTGAAACTTCCCACAATGACTCCTTTTTCTCTCATTGTCCATGAACACTCCAATCCTCGCCCCTCCTTATTTCCTCATGTATGTGTGTGTGTGTGTGTGTGTGTGTGTGTGTGTGTTGTGTGTGTGGGTGTATGTGTGTGTGTGCGCGCGCACGTGTGTGTGTGCATATTCATGTATGCATGTGTGCTTGCACTTTGGTGTGCGCGTGCATGTGCATTTGTTTGTTCATGCGTCACAGGTGCCGGACTCCAGTGAGGAGAGTCTAGCTGCAGTTGCCGGCATGTTCAGCAGCAAGGCCAGAGGTGATTCTCCCTTTGCTCTACGCCGTTGGATCGTCTCCCCCTGTCAGCAGGCTAGCTTGCTAATGCATGTGTGTGTGCCTCGTGGTTGGGGGCAGCAGGGGTGGAGTGGTCGATGGACTTTGACTGGGCGGGCAACGCAGTGGTGGCGGCCAGTGAGGCGCACTCCATAACGCTGGCGGTGGAGGGGCTGCTGGGCATCGTCTTCACCATCGCTCTGCTCACCGACGAGGCCATGGATGACTCACACCCGCACTCCGCCTCACCTCCCAAGTCCCCTCTCGCACCGCGCAAGCAACCTGATGCTCAGACCGTTGCCCAGGGCGGTGGGGCTGCTGCAACAGACGGTGCTTCAGGGGTTGGTGGGCGCCAGGGTGAGGAGGGGGCATCACCTGTAAGCCCTCCCTCCCCACGGGTGCCAGGCAAGCACCCTGCCTTGCTGGCTGAGTCCGACTCCCATGCGCCCTCCCCAGGGCTCACTCGCGGCCTGCTGGCCCTGCTGGGCGGCATGCAGGAGGAGGGCGATGGGAGCGAGTGGGTGAAGAAAGGAGCTCAGGATGATGAGGATGCGGAGAGCAGGGGCGGCAGTGCAGAGGGGCGGGTGCGCGGAGCACTGGAGGAGCTGTGTGTGCGCATGGTGGATGCCGTGTGGAAGACCGTCCTCGATGCTCTCTCCATCATTCTTGCCCGGTCTGTGCCCTTCCCTGCCCACTCACAAACACAGAGCTGCTTACAGGCACACACACCAATTGAGCACACACTATCTATGCGCACGCCACCATTTTCGAATGCACCAAGTATTTCGCTTATCCATGCCCAGTTGTGTAGGCGGTTGCTCAATGCATGGCCCATCCATGTAAGCTACTCTGTTCATCTGTTTCCCCCCTGTATCTGCAGGTCACAGGGCGAGGCTGTCATTCTGGAGATTCTTAGGGCATACCAGGCGTTCACCCAGGTGAGATGAGATGGGGTGAGGGCATGTGACGCTTTTAACAAGGTAAGATGAGGGCATCTGTAGCTTCTACCCAGGTGAGGTGAGGATGCACCAGGTGGTTGCTGATGCTATAGTTTCCTGGCCAGACACTGCCTCTTTGTTGCCTTGCTCCGTGCACTCACTTCCTCTTCCTCCGCATGCCCCAACCACCCTCATTGCTGTGGCCACCAGGCATGTGGCGCGTTGGACCTGGTGGACCCGCGGGACGAGTTCCTCGCATCGCTGTGTCGCTTCACCCTCGTCGCCTCGCCATCCATGACCACCATGGCGCCCCCCGGCCAGCCCTTTGACTCCGACCGCTTCCAACTGCCCTCCTCCCCGTCAAGGTCAGCGCACTCGGTTGCCATGCTCATCCCATGCACTCCTCTCTCTCCATTGCACATCAGGGCCACTACGCCATCACTCCATAACGCCCTCGCACATCACCACCAAACGCCTCTGCAAATGCCACAAATTTCAATGAGAATCTGTATCATTTGAGCCTTACACTCTTGACGGTTCATGAAAGGACGTTGACTTGGTGGTACGTGCGTGCAGCGCGTACCTGTCGCCCATGAGGTCGCTGGATGCACTGCTGGGCGTGGAGTCACGGGGGGACCTGCTCGCCTCTACCATGGGCTCCGCTGCTACCGCCTCTGCTGCTGCCCTGGGGCAGGGCGTGCCCGTGCTCACCCCCAAGAACATGCATGCCCTGCGCACCCTCTTCAATGTCTCCCACCGCCTCTGCGCCGTGCTTGGACCGTCCTGGGAACTGGTGTGTGCCCATTTCCAGCTTGCACCATCGACCTGTACCTAGTGTTGTGCGCACTCTATATTCGCCCAGTTACGCATGACATGTTCCACCATGGCATGTTCCACCATGGCATGTTCCACCATGGCATGTTCCACCATGGCATGTTCCACCATGGCATGTTCTATCAAAGCCGACTTGTGCTCCTTGCCATGTTATGCCCCCGTGCCCTGTGCGGCACGTATCATGTTGCCCGTCACACCAGGTGATGGAGACTCTGGCTGCCCTCGACCGCACCATCCATTCGCCATACGCCACCAGCCAGGCATGTAGCATGGCCAGGCATGTAACATGACCACGGATGTAGCATGGCCTGGCATGTAACATGACCACGGATGTAGCATGGCCAGGCATGTAACATGACCACGGATGTAGCATGGCCAGGCATGTAACATGACCACGGATGTAGCATGGCCAGGCATGCAGCATGGCAGGCATGTAGTGCTGTGAATGTTGTGCAAAACGTTATGAGGTGAAGGGCATTGCTGCACGGCCTGTATTGTCAGGAGTGTCCATGTGGCATCAGTATGCAAGGTGAGGTACCACTCCAGTATGCATGCAGTGATGTGATGCCACCAGACGTGCATGTGCGTGGTGTGGTGGTATGCAGGACGTATCCACATCAGCATCAACGCCATCAGCAGGGTCGCGCGGGTCCAAGGAGCTCACAGGCGCGCCCTCCTCACTGCAGTCCGACTTCTCCGTGCTCGCCACCCTCGATGCACAGGTACGTATGCCTGCCACCCTCGATGCACAGGTACGTATGCCTGCCACCCTCGATGCACAGGTACGTATGCCTGCCACCCTCGATGCACAGGTACGTATGCCTGCCACCCTCGATGCACAGGTACGTATGCCTGCCACCCTCGATGCACAGGTACGTATGCCTGCCACCCTCGATGCACAGGTACGTATGCCTGCCACCCTCGATGCACAGGTACGTATGCCTGCCACCCTCGATGCACAGGTACGTATGCCTGCCACCCTCGATGCACAGGTACGTATGCTGCCACCCTCGATGCACAGGTACGTATGCCTGCCACCCTCGATGCACAGGTACGTATGCCTGCCACCCTCGATGCACAGGTACGTATGCCTGCCACCCTCGATGCACAGGTACTTATCCTTGCCACCACGTCCTTAACGTGCCACCGTTACTGCTCGCGTACGTTTACTTGCATGCCAGCCATTAGTCAGTGAGTTCACTTGTTGCCACCCCATCCACCCCATGCCGTCATGCCACCACCACGACACTGCCCGCCACCAGCTGTTCCAGAGCACGGCCCACATGGACACCCCAGCCGTGCTCGCCCTGCTGGCGGCCCTGCGAGTCGTGTCCAACCGCGCGCTGCACTCCGTCACCACCGGCCTCGGCATCGCTGCCTCGGGCTCCTCTGCTGCTGCTGCCGCCGCTGGCACGTCTGCTGCTGCTGCGGCGGTGGCGTCTCCTCTCACCACGGGCGCGCTGCCGTCCACGCTCAAGATGTTTGCCGTGGAGCGCATGCTCTCTGTGCTCACCCACAACATGCACCGTGAGTCCTCACCCACTCAACAAGTGCGGTGCAGCGTATGAGCGGGCGGTGCAGCGTATGAGCGGGAGGTGCAGCGTATGAGCGGGCGGTGCAGCGTATGAGCGGGCGGTGCAGCGTATGAGCGGGTGGTGCAGCGTATGAGCGGGCGGTGCAGCGTATGAGCGGGCGGTGCAGCGTATGAGCGTGCGGTGCAGCGTATGAGCGTGCGGTGCAGCGTAAGAGCGGGCGGTGCAGCGTATGAGCGTGCGGTGCAGCGTATGAGCGGGCGGTGCAGCGTATGAGCGGGCGGTGCAGCGTATGAGCGGGCGGTGCAGCGTATGAGCGGGAGGTGCAGCGTATGAGCGGGCGGTGCAGCGTATGAGCGGGCGGTGCAGCGTATGAGCGGGCGGTGCAGCGTATGAGCGGGCGGTGCAGCGTATGAGCGTGCGGTGCAGCGTATGAGCGTGCGGTGCAGCGTATGAGCGGGCGGTGCAGCGTATGAGCGGGCGGTGCAGCGTATGAGCGGGCGGTGCAGCGTATGAGCGGGCGGTGCAGCGTATGAGCGGGAGGTGCAGCGTATGAGCGGGCGGTGCAGCGTATGAGCGGGCGGTGCAGCGTATGAGCGGGTGGTGCAGCGTATGAGCGGGCGGTGCAGCGTATGAGCGGGCGGTGCAGCGTATGAGCGTGCGGTGCAGCGTATGAGCGTGCGGTGCAGCGTATGAGCGGGCGGTGCAGCGTATGAGCGTGCGGTGCAGCGTATGAGCGGGCGGTGCAGCGTATGAGCGGGCGGTGCAGCGTATGAGCGGGCGGTGCAGCGTATGAGCGGGAGGTGCAGCGTATGAGCGGGCGGTGCAGCGTATGAGCGGGCGGTGCAGCGTATGAGCGGGTGGTGCAGCGTATGAGCGGGCGGTGCAGCGTATGAGCGGGCGGTGCAGCGTATGAGCGTGCAGTGCAGCGTATGAGCGTGCGGTGCAGCGTATGAGCGGGCGGTGCAGCGTATGAGCGTGCGGTGCAGCGTATGAGCGTGCGGTGCAGCGTATGAGCGGGCGGTGCAGCGTATGAGCAGGTGGTGCAGCGTATGAGCGGGCGGTGCAGCGTATGAGCGTGCGGTGCAGCGTATGAGCGGGCGGTGCAGTGTATGAGCGTGCGTGCGGTGCAGCGTATGAGCGGGCGGTACAGCGTATGAGCGGGTGGTGCAGCGTATGAGCGGGCGGTGCAGCGTATGAGCGGGCGGTGCAGCGTATGAGCGTGCGGTGCAGCGTATGAGCGGGCGGTGCAGCGTATGAGCGTGCGGTGCAGCGTATGAGCGGGCGGTGCAGCGTATGAGCGTGCGGTGCAGCGTATGAGCGGGCGGTGCAGCGTATGAGCGGGCGGTGCAGCGTATGAGCGTGCGGTGCAGCGTATGAGCGGGCGGTGCAGCGTATGAGCGGGCGGTGCAGCGTATGAGCGGGCGGTGCAGCGTATGAGCGGGAGGTGCAGCGTATGAGCGGGCGGTGCAGCGTATGAGCGGGTGGTGCAGCGTATGAGCGGGCGGTGCAGCGTATGAGCGTGCGGTGCAGCGTATGAGCGTGCGGTGCAGCGTATGAGCGTGCGGTGCAGCGTATGAGCGGGCGGTGCAGCGTATGAGCGGGCGGTGCAGCGTATGAGCGGGCGGTGCAGCGTATGAGCGGGCGGTGCAGCGTATGAGCGGGCGGTGCAGCGTATGAGCTGAAAGAATCTCAAGTGTTGTCTTGATTAGAAAGAGTGTCGGTACATATAGGAGATGAGAAGTTTTGGGAACGAAGTGGGGTACCCTCAGCATTTATTGGTGGACCAATCAGATTGGGTCGACCAACAATTGCTGGGGTAACCAACAATCGTTGGAGGGGACCATTATTGGCCCCCCCCCGTCAATTGCGGTCGAGTTGGGTTTGGGGGCGCCCAACCAAAATTGGTTGGGTCGCCTTGACCCAAAGTGTACACCCACTTTAGGGTGTAACACATGCACAAATATAAACATACATTATGCTATATTCTAACACAACCCCGTAGCATAAGAGGTTTATAAGTGTGCACAACCCCGGAATCATGAAGCCGGGGAGAGGCCAAGAAGGCGAAGGAAGGCCCGGTGGGCTAGCTTCGGAAGAGCTTTGGTGAAGATGTCAGCGAGGTTGGCTTCGGCGGCAATTTTTCGGACGGCAAGATGGCCTTGCTGGACAAGATCGCGAATGTAGAAGTAGCGTAGTTCGATGTGTTTGGAGCGCCCGTGGAAGACCGGATTCTTGGTGAGGTGGATCGTGCTGGCGTTGTCGCACCAGAGCGTGGGGCATGGCTGGGGGGCCCCAAGCTCGGCTAGCAAGAAGGAAAGCCAGCGTCCTTCCTGCGCAGCCATGGTACCAGCATAGAGTTCGGCTTCACAAGATGAGAGGGCGATGGCGGAGGAGCGGGTGGAGCGCCAGCTGACCAAGCCGCTACCGAGCGTGAAGCCATATCCTTGGGAAGAGCGGCGATCCGGCTGAGAGTCTGCCCAAGACGAGTCACTGAAGCCGGTGAGGAGCGGGGGAGAGGCACCACCAAGGGTGAGAACATGGTCCTGAGTGCCACGGAGGTAGCGTAGGACTCGTTTGGCGGCTCTCCAATGCACGGAGGTGTGACGACCGGTACCGACGAAACGCGCCAGGACGCTGATGGGGTAGGCGAGGTCGGGACGGGTCCCCATCATGGCATACATGATGGAGCCAACCAGTTCCGCATAGGGCTGAGTGGAGGCGGAGGGGGAGGTGGGTGGAGCAAGCCCATGGCCGAATGGAAGGGGAGTGGCCACTGGGTTGGCGAGAGCCATGTCGAACCGCTCCAACACCTGCTGAAGATAGTGAGATTGAGATAAGGTGATGGTGCGGGCAGCTCGATCGCGTGTGATCTCCATGCCCAAGTAGTGGCGTAATTCGCCAAGGTCCTTGCACTGGAGACGAGCTTGTAGTTCTTCCTTAACGTCGGTCATGTCGGCGGAGGTGTCGGCGAGGAGCACCATGTCGTCAACATAGACTAGGACGAAGAAGCGGCTGGGACGGGTCCGAATGAAGAGACTGGCGTCAGAGTGAGATGGTTGAAATCCGAGAGCACAGAGTGTAGATGCCAGCTTAGCATGCCATTCCCGAGGAGCCTGCTTCAGGCCGTAGACTGGACGGCGTAGTTCCCGGACAGTGTCTGGTGGGAAGGCTTCATGGAAGCCATCTGGGCGGTCGAGGAAGATTTGTTCGTGGAGGTTCCCCTGAAGAAAAGCGTTAGAGACATCCATTGATGAGATCTCCATGCCGTTGCGGGAGCCAAAGTCGAGAAGCGTGCGAAGGGTCCCGAATTTTGCGGTAGGTGAGAAGGTTTCCCAAAAGTCCTTGGCATAGGTCTGTGTGAAGCCCTTGGCGCAGTAACGGGCTTTGTAGACGGGCTCCTCCCCCGGAAGCTGCTTCACCCGGAAGACCCACTTGCCAGCGACAATGTTGGCATCTGGAGGCGGCTTGACATCGACGAAGGAATCATTGCGAATGAAGGCGTCGCACTCCTTGCGAATGGCCTCCAGCCATTTGTCAGCGTCAGGGCACGTGATTGCCTCCTGGAATGTGGTAGGCGTGAAGATGAGAGGTGAGGAGGGAGTGCCAAGTACAACCGCGCCCAAAAGGGCAAGGTACACAGGGTTAAGGGAAGGAACGTGAGTGTGAATGGCACAAAACTCCTCATGGGAGTCTTCATGAATGAGAGGTGGTTGACCAAGAATGGGGTCAAGGGAGCGAGTGTGCATGCGTGGGAGGAGGAAGGGAGAGCGTGAGGTGAGAGAAGTGCGAGGACGTGGGGAGGATGCAGGAGGTGCGGCGGGCGAGGATGGAGGAGGAGAAGCTGGAGGGAGGTGGGTGGGAGGGGAGGGAGGAGGGGGAGAGGGAGGAGGGGGAGCGGTGGAAAGGGCAGGTGAGGCAGCAGGATCATAGATATCAGCCGAGGAAGGTGGAGGTGAGAGTGGAGTAGTTGGGAGGAGTGGAGCAGATGGGAGGAGAGGAGGAAGAAGGGCATCCGCCCAGGTGAGTGGGCGGGAGGGTGGGGGGAGAGGGTCGGAGGGAGGAGGAGAGGAGTAGTAGGGGATGGTTTCATCGAAGACGACATCGCGGCTGCGAATGAGGCGTCCGGAGGGAGGATGAAGGAAGAGGTACCCAGGAGAGCCACGATTGTGGCCGAGGTAGACGCACTCCAATGCTTTGGAGGCAAGTTTTCCTGTTTTGCGGGAACGGTCTGCGGGAGGAATGAGAACAAAGGATTTGCAGCCCCAGACGCGAAGGACGGAGGCATCAGGTTTGGAGTTGCACCAAAGCTCAGTGGGAGTGAGGTTGGGATGGTGGGGGTGAGGGTAGAGGTTGGTGAGAAGGGCGGCATGAGTGAGAGCATAGCCCCAAAGGGAGGGAGGGGTAGATGCATGGGTGAGGAGACAGCGGGCAGTTTTGGTGATCTCACGGATGCGACTTTCAGCTACACCGTTTTGTTGCGGAGAATGAGGGAGAGTGGACGTCTGTTGAGTGCCATGTGCTTTGCAGTAGGAGGCAATGGTATGGTTGAGAAACTCCCCGCCACCGTCAGAGTGAAGGCGACGGATGGGTCGGCCGAAGTGCACGCGCGCTTGTTCGGCCCAGGCGATGATGACAGCGGCTGCTTCAGCTTTCGTGTGGAGTAGAAACACAGAGGAGTAGCGGCTATGGTCGTCTACGAGGACGAGCATAAAGCGGTGGCCCTGGCGGGAAGGGGAGGGGGAGGGACCCCAGAGGTCCATGTGGACGAGATCTAGGGGAGCAGTAGCAAATGAGGGATGGCTGTGATGGGGTTTTTGTTTGAGTTTGCCATGAATGCAAGTGGGACAAGGAGGAGCTGGTGAGGTGGGTAGGGGAGGAAGGGCAGGGGGGAGCCCATGAAGGAGGCGAGAGGATATTGCGGCACGGAGGGTGGTGAAGTTGGGGTGACCAAGACGGTGATGGAGGAGAATGGCGGGGTGAGAGAGGGAGAGGTCGGGAGAGGTAGAGGGAGTGGGAGATGATGAAGGGGGAGG